ATGTTCTTGACCTCATCAAGGGTAAAATTCTAAGGCAAGGTACTTTTCGGCCTCCATAGATTCTACTCCTGATGTTACGCATTCTGATCAGTTAACCATTGTTTTACGGTATGTCAGTATGGTAGATCACCAGCCCGAGGAGCGCTTTTTGACATTCATTAACATCTCGAGCCACACAGGACAGAATTTTGCAGATACGTTGCTCAAATTCCTAGAGGGGCAAGGCATCGACTTTGAGAATTGTTGTGGCCAGGCATACGACAATATTAGTAACATGTCTGGTAAATACACTGGAATGCAGAACATTTTGAAAAATAAAAATAATCTTGGGAATTATATTCCGTTCGCAGGCCACTCTCTAAATTTAGTTGGTCAATCAGCTGTAGATTGCTATGTGGTAGCTGTGTCTTTCTTTCAGTTCCTACAGCGCTTGTATTCATTTTTTGTTGCATCAACTCATCATCGGAATATTTTATTACGACACTTTGAGAAAAATCCTGAATGTCTAGTCCCAAAACACCCCTCAGATACCCGGTGGTCTGCCCGAGCTGATGCAACAGAAGCAGTCTTCAGGGGCTACAAACAATTCCAAAGTGCTCTACAAGAGATTGCAGAAGATATTGACCTGAAAGGTCTCACGAAGCACGAAGCTGGCGCTCTTGCAAGTTATATGGACACCATTGACGTTGTTTTCATGTGTGAACTTTGGAAAGACATTTTACATCGTTTCAATTGTTGCAGTAAACTGCTACAAAGTTCAACTATTGAACTAAGCCCGGCCATTGGATTGCTAAAAAGTTTAGACACATATAATATATATATATATATATATATATATATATATATATGTATATTATAAGTTTTATTTATAGATAAATATATAGATAGATTGTCTAGTCTAATTTTATGTTTATTTATTATTGGAATTAAAAGAATATTAGTGCTTATATGTCATTGTCATGGTCATGATTTAAAGAGAAGCTTTAGTTGTACGTGCTTGGGCTTGGACGTGTGAAACTACACTACGTTAGCTTAGGCCTACATAAATACATGTATAAGACGTAGGTTAAACTGTGGCCTAGCCTGCTACTTGCAACGTCAGCATTCGTTTACTATTCGTTGGCAAATTTTGATAAGCAAGATCGGAACTGTTTCAGTTTCAGTTTCCATTCCATTTGTTTGTTTTTAAAATTTATTTATTTTAGCAAAGTCACATGAATGCGGTGCTAATATTTTCCGGACACCCCCTTATAAAAATCCATCAGTATTTTTTTCTCTTCTTGTGGAGAGTTTTGCCGGATTCGAAATAGTAGACCTTATTATTATATTGACGTGAAACAAAATCCGTCAAAAGTTGAAGTCCTGGACTTTTTTTTTTTTGGACTGTAAAATACGAATTCATGCTTGTTGATAGTTTTACTAGTAGGCTATATATGAATGTCAAGGCTTTAACGAAACTATTTTTTACCGTCTACCCGTGTAAGACGGCCGCGCATTGTCGAGGAGAAAAGTGGCCTTATAGAAGACAGGTGGCCGTCATACGTAGGACTCGTCAAAATAAAGAAAACAAACCATTTATTTCTGAGGTCCCAACTGAAGGTGGTTGCAGCAAAGATTTTTTTAACCTAGAATCTTTGGTTGCAGGCTTAGGGCCGGTCTGCCGGCTCATAAGTTATTATTGTTGTTATTATTGTTGTTGTTGTTGTTGTTGTTATTGTTGTTGTTGTTGTTGTTGTTTTGAAAGGGGGAGAGGATAGGACGGTTTTTGTGGGACTTTTGTTGGCAGTTTTATTAATTTTTTTAAAAACTTAAGGTTCTGTGAAAGGTCAAAACAGAACGAAATGTGTCAGACGAGGAGGGCCATATATATGACACAGTAAAGCAAGAAAATGGGTCAGATCGACGCCTCCACTTGACGAACGAGCGACACTTATGTCGCGAGTTTGTGTTTACTTCCATATTGTTGTGGACTGGGTTTACGGACTGAGTTGTGGGCAGGGCTTAGCTTATGACGAAAATATCGCTTCCCTTAGCCTATACCAGCAGCTGAAACTTTATTTTTAGGCCTATAATACACATTACACATAAAGTCACATTGGGTAAACTTGGGAGTGACCTAGGCAATTACCTTGGAGGGACTGACTATAACGACAGGTGAATATAATTTTGACGGCTCCAGGGGAAAGTGCATAATAAAAATAATGAAATAGTAAAGCCCGGCCGTCTTAGACAGGTAATTTTGGGGTGTTAATTGATAAAATAGGGTGGGCCACGGGTTGGACAGGTGCCCGTTTTACACATTTAGAATTTATATTTTAAAAAAGCAAGGGGGAAAATGCAGGCCTACAGATGGCCATGTTATACAGGTGGCCGTCATGACAGCTCTTGGTTCGAAGTGTCATAGTCTATAGACCTGTGTGTGTGTGTGTGTGTGTGTGTGTGTGTGTGTGTGTGTGTGTGTGTGTGTGTGTTTTCACCCCTCACTTCTATCCCCTTTAAGTGGGTGGTTGGCGGGTGCCCTGGTGTGGTTTGCTTCTTCTTTCCTATCAAACATCTATGGTCTTAATATCTCCGCTCCTTTCTTTTTGTGTTTGTTACTCTTTTGTGACACCTCTAATCTTCGGCACTTATATGACCTTATAGTGTTGCAAATGCCGTAAAACTCTTACTAAAACTGAAACTATGCCCTTTCGCTAAAAATGTTCTGTCAGTTCTGGTCGTTTCCGTGCAAACATTCTTCTGTGGATCTTTTTACCTCGATCACCGGACAGTTTCCTGGAATTTCCTCGATCGATCCGACAAAATAAATAAATTATTATACGCTAGGGCTAGCCTAGAAATAAGTTCCTGATAACCATTGAACTCATTGAATTGTATTCGTAGCCAAGGCAGGCAGATGTTCTAGGCTAGATGTAGATCGTCCACAAACACACACCGCTCTCCCTCTGTCGATCGAGTGTTTCAAATCCTGGCGAGGTAAGTTCTCATTTAGATTTATTTAATCTTAGTAATAATATTATAATCATAGATCTAAAATCTAGATTTAGATCTACTACCTAAATTACCCTATAAAAGTGCGATCAAACTACACTTTCGTCTCATTGAAACCTAGAGTAGATCTAGATCTAGATATCTAGATCTAGGTCTACATCAAATATCTAGGATCGAGATTCTAGGCTAGCCAAGCAAGATTCTGAATTCTGGATCTGGTAAGAATAATTTCAATAAGGTAAATATTTACTTAGATATATGCACCCACTCACAGATGCACTGATTTGAGGGCTAAAACTGCCATAATTTTTGCTGCAAAACACGTATGGCCACTTAAACCCTTGGAATTCAATGGTTTTCAAGTACATATCAATCCAATTTTCCAAAACATCAAATCTTTGTGAAATGCGGGGGGGCCCCCCCCCCTGAAACCCCCCAAATTCTTTTTAGTGTCACAGTCAGGCGCTACGCTGTACATCAAGTTTCTAGGTCTTTGTCCTGGGATGTTCTGTTCTTCTTAGCCTTATTTTGACCGCTTCCCATAATAATAATAGATCTATATTCTAAATGTGAGGCAGCGTGATGGAATCAGGCTCTCGTCAATTTTTGGGCCTGCAGAGTTATTGGTATCATCGTAAAGCTTGTTCAGTTGTCTTTATTTGGATGAAAATATATTCATTTATCTTGAATACAAGTCGAGATATATGCGAATGAAGGAGGTGGGGGTTACCTGTTTTCAGAGGTAAAATTAGTGAGAAAGAGGCCGCCAAAGATTAGTTATTTCCTTAGCTTAAGAGTCCGTGGTAACTGAAAATTTACATTTT